GCGCACTAACCATGAGGCCACCGCGCCGCCCACACTATGTCTTGTACCCGTTTTTTTTTTTTTTTTCCCTCAGTTAAACTTGGTTTTTGATCGGTCGATCGATAGTTTTATTCTAATTAATTGCTTGTCGAGCCCAAAGGACGTCGTGTTAAATCAAATTAAGAACGTTGTGTCGTGAAATAATAGGAAGACGATCACGCAATTAGCAGACCTTAGCATGGAATACCTGTGATTTTACAGAAGGTCATCGAGTGCTGAAATGTTCTCAGATTCTGTTAATTTTCTTCTTCTACAAGGTTCTTTTTCTTTAACATAGAAGGATATTTAGAGAAATTATACCAAATTTAAAAACGCTTTTAAAAAATCGACAGTGAGTGTCCTGATATAAGTGATTTCTTGTGATTGTTATCTGAAAAAAATAGCAACTTAGTTTCTCAGATCGAGCAAAAACCATCAATCTGAGAACATGAACAGGATCCTCTAGAGGATTGTACAGAATGTGTGCACGTCACGTCATCAAATTCTCAAATCCAAAAGTAAAGAGCCCCTAAAGGTTTTATCCTCATCAGGCATAAGAGTTACTAAATTAATATCTGTTTACAACTTTTCAGCTCAATAGCGTCCTTCGTTTGGAAACCAGCGCATTTTCAATTTCGGAGTTATGGCGGTGCGTGACAAGAAGCTAAGATCGCGTTTGTCTAAAAATATACACTTATCTCGTGATTTTTAGCCATTTAGGAGTTAAAGTATTAGGAAAAGTGCTTGTGTAAATGTTTTTTGGTTCGGTTCAGATAATCAGTTGTCTAGATAGCCAAAGTAAGTTCCACTATATTTCGGCCGCCATATTGGAGGACTTAGGAGTGTGGGAAACGCTAGCCCCCAAGAATAACGATTTCTCGCGAATCTCACAAAGAGAAAATAAATCAGGACAAATTATACTCACAAGTCCACAGGCAGGTTTATGGGCTCAGAGGCTCCTTTCTCGACTGGTTTACAAGGTCAACTGAACTCAAATCACAAAGCGCTTATCTGTTATACTCTATATTGCATGCAATGTTGCGTGTAAGCGAACTAAAGGTTAATTTCTGGTCCTGGACACATATCTTTCTCGGCTATTTAACAAAATTACTTAATGAATGAAATTGATATACCACGTGGGTTTGCTATCATCAACTCAAGTCTGCCCAAATCACGCAATCCATAATACTAGGTCCAGTCTCTGCGCGACATGAGGTCCTCCAACATGGCGGCTCCAGGCTCTATAATTTTGCGCGGAACATTTCGACAAATATCTCAACTTTGGGTCAACGCACACACCTTAAACTTGGAGAGCTGACTTTATCTACTGAATGGTTTTTGATTTTATTTTTTATTGCGTGACAATATAATGCACACACTCTTTATGTGGCGAAGTGTTGGTTGTCCCTGTGGGAATAGCCTGCGAGCAGGCTCACGTTGGAGCACAAGCGCGCGCGGCGTAGCCGCGAGGGAGAAATCAAGCGGCGAAACCGCGAGACGAGAAAGTGATTTTCTTGGCACCTCTTCACCAGACTCCTTCCCGCCGGATCGCCGCTTTGTTCTTCGCCGTTCGCACGTGTGACTCAAAGGTATGCCTGCTCGCAGGCTACAGTGGGAAGAAGGGTTTCTCTCCCCAGGAGCCATTGCTTATCGAGCGTTTAAATGAAAAGATCGAGTTGTCCCAGTTGCCCAAACCAAACATTGCACTTCTCAGTTTCGCGCATGCTCTATATGCCTTGACTTTTCCCTGGTCGGCGAGTCAAACTTATCCATGGAAAAAGGTTTCCTCCCCTAACCCCACCTTGAGCCAACTTTCCATTAACTTAGGGTTAGGGTTAGAAGTGCTTGAAGAGTTCTATTGACAGAGCCTTTTCCAGGCTCTCGGTTTGTAAGGGCGAGCGAAAGGGGGATGACGCGCGAGAGAACGAAGGGAATCTGGGGAAGAACGTCCTAAACTTCCTCAGCCTTTGATGTACTCGTTGTCGACTCGACACAAGGTGCTCTGGATGGAGGGTAACTCTACCAGGGACAACTATTATCCATATAAACAGGCGCTAAGCATGTTTACTAATTAGTGCAGCTGCTCATCCATTCATCGGCATGCAGCACTTCAAATCCAAGGCTTTTCATCTGTAAAGTAACAGTAGATCACGTGTTAGCCAAGGCAACCAACTAGATCGATAAATGTAAAGCTTAGCTAACAATCAAGCGATGATGTCGTACAAAGTTTCGAAACTAAACTGAGTTACTTTCAAGTCATATTTTCAAGGGTCGAAAAGTAATTAGTTTTGCGTCAATTACGCTACACGATTAGCTCAAAAATTCGCCCCACTTTTTCATCCCATCAGAAAAAAGCTAGAAGTAAAAACCCAAATTACTTGAGACTCGTTCGCACAACTTTTCCCGCGCTTTGCGTCAGCTACATGTTATTGCTTCGAGTTTTGATTTGTTCAGTGTATTGTCTGTGTCCTTTGTGGTTGGTTAGATTACTTTGGTTTTGGTTTTACAACATTCAATTGAAAACCGCTTAAATAGGAGACAAAGGGATCCAAAGTCCAACCCCAAGTCCTCGTCGTGGATTCCGGGCAACGCCATTGGCGGCTAACGGGGCTCTGGTGAAGGCACGAAAGCCGACCATCATGTACTTTATTAAACGGTTACGGAAAATGAAGCCTTGGCAAGGTCACTGGATACCCCTTCGGAAATCTGAAGGAGAAGAGAATATCCCCATTAACCATGACAAGCGGAGAGTGAGGACATTGAGGACGAACTGGCGGATTGCGAAGAATAGAGCTCTCATTCAACCCCGCACTTGTCGTAAAAATCGGTTTATTTAGGATCCTTCACATTCAATGAGAGCACCATTATTTACCTGCTTTGATGTAATGAAGAACTCTTCTACTGCCTTCACGTTGTGTTCTCCTCGACCGTGCCTCACGTACCGACAGTGAACAGGGCACGTGTTAAGAACATACACAGCCATGGCGACCAGGCTCGGGTTTAGCCAACAGTCACATTCAATTGGTTGTTCATTCTCTATCACACGATCTTGATTGCTTGTCATAACACCGTTCACATCCTGTCCGAAGCCCAGCAAGCTTTGCACAGTCAGATTTCCTACAAAAGAGAAGGAAAGGTTGTAGTTATTACAGGGTGTGTATGTGGGTGTTGGGATGTCAGTTATCAGGCAAATTTGTAGGCAGCTCAGTTCTGAGCTTTTAGTTAACATTTTAGGCCATTTCTCAGGCATCACTAACTGTTGCAGATCTCAGATCTCAGCTGGGAGTTGAAACACGCGATATTCCTCAGCCGACAGTTCAAAGTTAAACCAATTCTCAGCTAGGAGTTAACCAAATATATACAGACCATCCTAGTAACCTCACAACAGAGAAATTAGGTTACTTTACAATAAGTTGACCTTATGGCGCAGCGTTCTCTCCAAAAAGCATTCTTAGAGTGGCTTAGCCTGCGAGCGGCGAAGAGCAATGCGAGACTCCGGAAGGAGTCTGGTGAAGAGGCGCCAAGAAAGTCACCTTTTCGTCTCACGGTTTCGCCGCTAGATTTCGCGCTTGTTCTCCAACGCGAGCCTGCTGGCAGGCTAAGTGTGGCCCCTGTATGGGAGCTCGCGTAAGATTAAGGAATCATTTATTTTGGTTCGAATTTCTCTCTTACTAAGAAAATTTAAGGAAAAGAATACCGTAAGTTATGGGTATTATTTGGTAGCGATTACGATTCTAAACGACTGATGTTGCTAAACGAGTAAGCGAAAACGATACGATGATGAAAGTCATGGAGAATATTGTAACAAGTGACTGCAGATGATCTAAAACTCTCACCTTGTTCGTTCACTAAAACCACGGAATTGAGGCTGGTGGAGTGGAAACTAGGTCCCAGACCTTCAAGTATTTCACGCAAGGTCAAATGGACGTCACGTGACCAATGTGTAGGCCTCATGGTACCTGAAATAACTGGTATGGATTTAAGAAGAATTTTTTCAGCTTCACACTTGGCTAGCAGCTTTTGCCACTCTGCTGCATTGCTTTCCGTTGTAAGAACTGTTACTTCTTTCTCTTGGGCAACAAGAACTTTTACAATGCTGGCAACAGCAGCCAACTGCCAGTCTGAAACATCCACTGCGATTCCACTTCGTGACCATGTTACTATAGCAACAGAAGACGCATGGGAAAGCGTCATGGCAGACTTCAGAAGGTAGTCACCAGGTTCTTTGCATCCATTTGTTAATTCCGCGGATTTCAGCGATACAAATTCCTTTTCTTTCTTTACGACTTCATTGATGGCTTCTTGAGACACTAAAGAGGCGAACTGGGGCGACTCGGACAGAAAAATCACTTTAGGAGAGAGAGTAGCGTGTTGTGGCGGATGATCTTTGTAAAAGTCTGTCACTTTGTAGTCTGTGATGAATAGAGAGGCAATACATTCTGGTGATAGACTGACTGCGATGTGAGGTTCTAGAAAGGTAATAAAATAGGCGTCGTTAGTTCACAATTGCTCCAAAAGAAAAAAAGGAAAGATCACTTCCTTAAACGTTGTTCTTCTCGGACTTGTCAGACACAGTTAACAGTGATTCCCTGCGCGCTGGTACCATAGAGAGAACTTGGACACTTCACACCCGTTCCCAGTCAGTATTTTATTTTTTTCAGTCACGTTTCAAGTCAGTGGTTACAAAAATAAAAATTCAAAGGACTAAACAACGCATTTCAACATCATTGAATTGATTTCGAAATAATAATAATGATAATAACCTTTATTTACCCTCGGCAGTATTTATAGCACAAAGGAAAGTAGGGCCTAGTAAACAACTGAAACAAATGATTAAAATTCAACATAACATTGTTAAGAATCCCAACTTGCTGGAGGCAAACCACTTTGGTCATTTACAAGCGCAGCAGAGGATTTGAACTCGGGGCTACCGTGAAACAAATCCAGGTAGTGCTCAGAGCGGGACTCGTCCCCAGGACCGCTGTATTGCGAGTCCGACGCGCTGACCACACGGCCACGCTGCCTCTTGAACGTGGTTTCTGAACTATTTTTCGAGAATAACCATCCATGCATTTTCCCTATATCATCTACGTACTTAACTTTACGCACATTAAATTACGCGACAGCAAGGTGGAAACACACACGTATTGTATAAAATAAATCCTGTATACGTACTAGCTGACGCAATTGCGTCGGTCGCAGATATTCCACAGCCCCAGAAAACAGAGACATCATGTTCAGCAACAATAGGCGCATCACCGCATGCAGGATGTTGAAAGTCCTCTATTCCGATAATCGCGGGAGCCCCTATATGAATGGGAGCGCCGTGAGCAAAATCGAGCGGTGTGCAGACCTCCGCCACTTTTTGAATAAACTCCCGTGGGATCTGCCTCATAGATACCGTCATGTTCCCAGAAAAAGACCCCTGGGGTTGTAGGGGTATCTTGGTGACGTACACCGGGCAATCGCGTTTCTCAATCATGTGACGAATGGGAACTTGTGCGGCGACAAGAAAATGATCAAATGAATAACTACAACCAAAATAAAACGTGACCAGGTCTTCCCAAGGAATTTCTAACAAATCGCGAACGTGTCTGGATACGATGCCGTTGTCAATGACTGCGTAAAGAGGAAGGTCTGTCCTAGAGAAAAATACATTAAATCATGATCGTCAGATCAATCAAAACATGATCGTCAGCTGAAAAACACGAAATCGTCCTACTTGGGGGGTTGAAAGATTAAGAGAAGAGGCCGCGAGCGGAAGGCTTCGAGCGGTGGTGGAATTAGAGGAAGGAGATGTGGAGGTGGCGAAGACCCCTGTACCCCTTCTTCTCTCATCTTACCATGATCGCACTTGCCGTCCGTTTTCCTTAACCTATTGTTTCGTTCCTTTTTTGGTTAATGTTGAGCAAATATGTATATTTTGATTAACACTAAATAATAAATAACCTGAATTTACCCTCTGTCAGCGTTTATAGGCAAATCATGTGATAGTGAGCTCTTGCAATTAAATTTTAAAAAACAAAGAATTCACATTAAGCATAACAAAGTTAGAAGCCTTAACTGGTAGGAGACAAAAGCTAGTTGGCTATTTACACTGAGACGTAGCAAAAGAGTTGAACTCGGGTCTAGCATGGAACAACTCCAGCAACCTCTGGATTTTTAGTCCGGTGTCCTTACAAATCGGCCACGCCCGTTTTTTTTTTTTTTCGCCATGTCGCAAAGATCAACCTCAACTAACCTCACATCTGATTCTGAAGCCAAGGGTGGAGCCGAAACCTCTCCCGGCCGACTGCGGTAGAGCAGAGGAAAAGGGGAACTGTTGTTAATACACAGTCTTTCAAAGTCATCCGCCATGTTGGATGGCACGCAAGCGATGTTGGATTGAAGATAACCAGCACAAAACTGGCTACACGAGATGTGCACCATCTTGTTCTGTCGAAACTGTTCACGTGCTTCTCTGGGATGGAATTCGCCGGGATCACGTGATGAAGGTGACACAGACGCCATTTCCGTCACCTCACTCCTGAAGACAAAATAAAGAGCACTTCTTTAAAGACAAAACTCCGGCTTACAGACTTGGCTTGACTGCTGACACGCACGAGTGCTTCGTTTCGAAACCCCGACAGCTTCGCGTGCAGGCTATCAATTTGGAGGCATCAACTAGATCTGCAAATATTCGGCTTATTGGGTCAATTAGCGTCTCCTGGGGTAACGAGAGGTTAACTATGCAAATGAAAGTGATTTTCCCTACGGCCACCTCTCGGCAAAGGCCACTTTTTATTCTCCCTGCGGGCTGTCCATACATTCATTCTTATTTCAACTTCTCGTCAACGGTAACGTCTCCACTGCAATAATAACCTCTCCGAATAGAAAACCCCAACTTGATCCGTACCAAACACCCTTGATGTTCTGTTTGGTTTCTGACTTTGATTATTTTATGTATCGATACGCTTCAGTAATGTTGCACACCCCGATTAAAAAAAAAAAAAGTGTCATATTACACCCCTACCTCCACATTACCGTAATACGGTCACCTAAACAACGGCCACTTTCCTCCCGCGGCTGTTTAAACCCTGTTCAGTGGACATCTCTATTAAGCGGACGCATCACTGAAGTCCAGATGATAATTTGCTCATTTCTATTGTTAAAATCCTCTATAAAAAGGACGCTGGACCAAATATATAACGCCGTTTAAGTATTGGAATATATCTCTTAAAGGGTAGCGATTGGAAAGTGGTCAATCCATGTAGTTGAAAGGACAGATTACTAACAACACTATACAGTGGTCACGAGCTTGTAATAAGGATAGCTTGGCTAACAATCTGGCAGTAATTATGAAGCAATGATTGCACAGTTTAACAAATTTGGGGCCTGTCACGCAACGAAAACTAGTAGTCCGAAGAATGATGCCAGATGGGAATATTTACGATCGCTCTTAGGAAGTAAAAACTATAAAGTTCTCAATAAATATACCTCACCTTACTTCCACAGTGTATCGCTTGATGTCTGACCGCTTACTTTGTTTAAGCAAGGCCATTTTAGTGAGCTATCGCTTCCTAGGTTTCGATAGGTAACCCTAGGCCTAACTCTAACCCTAATC